TTTTAGGGGTAAGATTTCCCAAATGATCTTTCCCCTGATTTCTTTATCAACATTTGGGTGGTGGCAGCAGAAGTTTTGTTCCCAAGTTCTAGGTTTTTAAGATTTTGGGGGAAGTTTTATACCAAAGCCTGGTAGATAAGGCTGGGTCGGAGCAAACGTATGCATGCCCCATCACCAGGACAAAGTATTTTCTTTTCACCCTTTTGCCAGAAGGTCATGGTGATCTTGGCCACCCAGTCATGGAGGGGTAAGGTCACCCTGGTCAGGACTGACTGTCCCAACACCCTGAAGAGGGTTGTCATGATTATGAGGATTAGCCAGCAGCCTGGGGATTAAGGGGTTAACTACACCTAGCCAGGTGGAGTGACCAATAAGAATGTAGGTGGGATTTTTCAAACTGGGACAAAGGAATTTGGGTTTTTCCTTTGTCCTTTTGTCTCTCTGGGAGAGTTCTCTGCAGCTACAGAGAGGGACAAGCATGTCTCTCTCTCCAAGACACCATTCTTCATTTTCTGTAAGTAGGGTAAAGTTTAGGTAGTTTCGTTAGGTTTTATTGTTTTAAGGATTGGGTATGGGATCTGAGATCTGGCACTGTTTAAAAGATGTTTTGGCTTTTCTTTGTAACTAAGTTCTAGGCCCATGGAGTTTCTCCATGAGTATATTTTGTTACCTCCCTATCTAGTCATTATGTTTGCAACAGGAATATTGTTGTAATAATAAAAGTTCTTTCTTTTCTTTTTATGAACCTGGCAGTGGTTAATTGTATGCCCTGATTTTTGTTTTAGGGGTAAGATTTCCCAAATGATCTTTCCCCTGATTTCTTTATCAACATTTGGGTGGTGGCAGCAGAAGTTTTATTCCCAAGATCTAGGGTTTTAAGATCTTGGGGGGAAATTTTATACCAAAGCCTGGTAGATAAGGCTTTGGGGTACACTTGCTGGCCCCCACTTCTGCATTTATCATGCCAGAGTGGGGAAGGAGCCATGACAGAAAGAGAGGTGGGAAAGGAGCCCTGAGTGAACTTCTTGGGTCACAGCTGCTGTAACAATGAGGTAAGATGAACAAATAGGCCCCCTCTTCTGCTTTTATCATGCCAGAGGGGGGAAGGAGCCATGACAGAGAGAGAGGTGGGAAAGGAGCCCTGAGTGAACTTCTTGGGTCACAGCTGCTGTAACAATGAGGTAAGATGAACAAATAGGCAGCTGTCATGTGAGAACTGAGGCTGGTTTCCCCAACTGGGAATCAAACCCAAGTGTTAGCCGTGAAAGTACTGAATCCTAACCACTACACCATCAGGGATACACAACAAAAAAAAGCATAGGCACGTCAGCATTCCTCCTTTGAAATGTACTCAGAGTCCCCCGCTGATCCCGACTCTATACAACTCTACCATTTGAAATTCTGTGCAGAGCTGGGGTCAGCTGAGGAGTCCCTGGGGCTCTGTGTGCTTTGAAATGCCACATGGATCCTGGGATCAGCTGACTCCGGGTTCTGCGGAAATCCTGCACAGAGCCCAGGGTCAGTTAGGGAGTCCCTAGCTGACCCCGGGGTCCACATGGCGCTGCCACTTTGAAACGTTGCTGCGGCATTTGAAAGGAGTAGCGCCGGACAGCTGATCCTGGGCTCTGTGCAGCACTGCCCCCTTTGAAACAGCATGGTACTGTCTCTCCCTCCCCCCACCCCCTTTGCTACCTTCATCTCATAGAGGCAGCAAGGGGACGGGGGGAATCAATAAGCATTTGCTTTATCTGATAATCGACTAGTCCTTAACATCCTTAGTCCAAATATCAGTTAACAAATAGGCAATGGCCGACGTCTGTAACGCACCATCCAGACACTTTTTTTTTTTTTTTTTTTTTTTTATTTTTTGTCCTTTGT